GCAGGGACCAGGTTTCAGATCGTAGCTAGTTTAGGTAACGCTTAAAGAAGGATAACTTTGACACTTGATTTTCTCTTAAAAAAGTCGGTTTAACAGCCCTGTTCTCCTTGCCCATTTGCTGTATGCGATTGTACATCCTTGAGTTTGAGGACGTGGCAAGTCTCTTAGGATCATGACGCCGTAACTGCACTAAATCTACCCTTGGTAAATGATATTCGAGATTCTGTTTGCCCTCCTACCTATAAGACATTGCGACATTGTTTTCCACATGACTGGTTAGATTAGACGAATAGAGCGAACATAAGAGTATTCCCAGAGCATATAAATTCAGTCTGATACATAGTTGTGGAATCATCTAGCGAAATTTTCTATGCACATGTAGCTAGCTAGGAAGACTGGCTCTGTATTATCAGAAAAAGGCTGACGTTGCCATCAGCCTGCTCTATCGTACCCACACCGCGTTTGAACACTTTTCGCTAATAGATGGTCTACGTCCCACGACAGAAAGAGGATAACAATTCAATTTGGATGTGCAGTTAACGAATACTTAGACGAACGTCCGGCAAGGATACCTAGGTTCAAATGTAAGCTGGGGCAACAAAATGCGGAGATAGAAACATACACAGCAGGATAGCCTTGACCTTGACCAAGCTGATACTTGGCCGCAGAGGCGTTCAGATTACAAGGAATTGGCGGCAGACCATCGGCGCCCAGAATGCCCTGGATGCCCCTCTTGTCCTTCTCAAATATGGCAGCGAGGCCACGCTCTTCTCCTTGTTGTTTAACCTCAACCATCTGCTTCTCTCCTGCCTGCCCGATCTGCAGAACGTCATCCTTAGGCACCGCCCGGCTGCCTAATGTAAGAAGGCCAACAGCATCTGCCTGGTTGACTGTGCTAAGTCTGGGGTAGTTTCTCCGAGCGTCGCGCTTCCAGTAAGGGTTGTCGGCAATGTCTGCTGCTGGGACAGTGACGGGGTCATCATAAGATTGGGGCGGGAGAGCACCAGGAGTCGGAAGTCGATATTGCGAGTTAAGTGGTACACCGGTAGAGCGATTGGGATCGACGGCAAGAAGACGGCGAAGACGTTCCCATATCCCGGTAGACTGGACGGTGTATTTCTGATTATCGAAAATTAGAAGTGAAAAGTACCACCATCAGGATAGTAAAAATGCCTACCTTATGGACGGCTATCGCGTTCGATGCGGACTTGGCGGCTTTGAGGATGTCGCGAGCCATGATGGAGATCCTATCCAGTTTGCGTGTCAGCCTCACAATGCCTCCATTGTCTCACTGTCCATGATGAAGACCAGTATAATGACCCTTTGGCTTACTTGAGTCCTGACCTCCCGAGGTTCTCGTCTCAACAATATGTGTATTCACTTGCCCTACGAAGGGGCGGAATCAAGATGGCTGTACTCGGATGGACGACCTGTGAACGGACATTTTGTTTTTCCGATACCGTGCCTCCTGATACCCGAACATCCACTGGCGATCGGTAAGAAACGTACCCATACAACGTGTAAGAAGCTTCCCTGGCTGATATCTGAATGCAAGAATGAGCTGTTGACCCCTCGCGCTAAACTGATATGTGGAGTTTCAAGTCAAGTTCGGCGTAACAGAAGGAACTTTGCTGAACCTTGGTCAGATAGGATATCACGACCCCGCAAAGTGACAGCTGGAGAGATCGGATTTTCATCTCAAGCACCTTCCTGGCCACACCTGCAGTTATATTGTGCCAGGAGTAGGACCATTGACCGAAAATAATAAGTTATAGGTTATTCATCCCTTCGTCAAAGATAACACCCATTGGAGATAGTGGCTTTACTGAACTAGAACCACCAGTAGTCATATAACCATAAGCATTCTTCATTTTCGTAGGTGGATTGGATTAAGTTTCTCTTTCATTGCAAAGATTGTCGACGTATGAAGTATGACATGAGGTATGAAAAGCGATGTCAGGATCATTGATATTTACATGGGCCCTCAGAGCTGAAACATGCTCTTAAAAAATGTCTGACACCTAAACCCGACTTCCATCATGAACTTCCCGTCACTCTTTGACTTGTCCATGCGTCTCTTTGTTGCGTGCTGAGATCAATTGCTGTACAGCATCCACCGTTGCATCTGGCCCACCAGGTTGCAAAAGTAGGACCTTCCCTTGCTTATCAACAGCGAAAACCCCCCTTGTCGTACCTCTAGGAGCCTTCTTAAAGCCAAGACCCGAAATGAGAGTAGACGCCGTATCGCATAGTAGAGGATAGGGGAGGCTCTGCTTGGCTTTGAACGAGCTGTTTGCTTTGATGGAGTCCGCCGAAAGCCCATATATCGATAGGCCATTCGATGTTATATAATCATACTTATCGCGAAACAAGCAAGCTTGCTTTGTGCCTAACAAGCGATGAGCGTTCTTTCGACTCGCGGGATTGTCAAATTCGTTGCAGGAGCCAGGAACTATAGCGTAATACCGCTAACGAGAGGAGGGATGCAAGTGCTCCTTGAAAATTCACGGAGTACTACTCTCGGGACGTTCAAGGAAGAGATATGGGGGAGATAAACTCACAGCCAGGCGTGGACGCTCTTGGGTACGTGAACAAAACAATTCCTGATTTGCTTGTGTCGACGAGGTGTTTGAGGGTAGTTTTCGTCCCATCATTGAGTTCTACCTCGCCACCAAAGCTATCCAAGTCGATAGTGTCGCCCACAGTTGGAGGTTTCTTGTATGAGACGTGCGTAGAGCGCTCATCTTCCTTGCATAATTGTACCAAGGTTGGACCGGTCTCCTCACTCGTCTCTTGTATCCTTTTGCTCTTTTTTTCTGTGGCAGGGGTCTGTGAGGGTGCTTTCCGCTTCCTGAGTTCTACCATGATGCAAAACTGATATTCGAACAGCTGAAGGAGCAATTATCCTTAGTGGGTGGTATGTCGTCCGCGTCTTCTGAGATGCTTTCAATACTGAGGGAGCGAGACCGAGAAGGGCCTAGAATACCCTTTTATATGTCTAGGATCCTTCCAGCAATGAACATCGGGATTATGCACAGTTTCACACCGACTTTATTTTCCATGTTGGGAAGCAGCTATGACTGCTGCGAGTTAATGAACCTCTTTCCCCGGTGGCTTAAAATGAGTTGACTACAATAGTAATAGATCATAATAGCAACATTTAGAGATGATTTGGGTTCAGCGAGAAAAATACGGAGACAAAGTATGTGTGACAGGTAGCAGGAGATCCCTCGGGTTACCTGATAAGACATTATCATTAATTCATGATTATAGCATCGTACAGGATCATTCCATATGGCTCTTCGATCAATCGCTTGTTATGATTCGTACAATTTTGAACTACGCTCAGTTCTTATAGAGAGGTAGATAGTAATAGGAACATTAAGGTATGGAGTAGTTTATGATGCTGTCGCATTTTGACAGCCGAGAAATTCCGATCCATGACCGAGCCCGCCTTTTCCCCGGGTTGTTTGCGAGTCGGATATGCTAAAATTTTCTTCTCCCGCGTTCCATTGCACGGAAGCCTGTGATCGCCGTCCAGTTTCATCATTTTTTGAAGGCCTTCTTACTCATCCTGTAGTTGGATATTTGCCTCTTCTTTTATGCCCTTCCTTACTGTTCTAGGCTCTCTTTAATGAACGCAGAGACCTTTGCCCTTTCATACGCCATCTTATCGATATTCTCGAGTGCTCAACTTGTCTGAATCCATTTCGGCTGATTCGATCGACACGACGTTCTGCAGACTACATTTTCGATCGTGCTCTTTAGCAAGCGACTCGGTTGCCTAGCGATCCCTGCTTCTATCACCGTCTCCGAGCTTTCCCCGTCATGAAGGTCTTCTCCTCGACGTGCACCTTCGATTATTCTTGGGAAGAGGTTTCGACCGCGAACTGGCGCAAATATTGCCCTTGGAATGACAAGTCGACCCATGTTGTGGCGGTAGACACCATATCTAGGACGGTAGATCCGAAAACTGGCATTGTGGGTTTTCCTATCATCATTATCATTCTCTACATCTCGGACAAAATGTCTAATCTGAACTCCCCATTCAGTTGCGTACGGAACGCCTCATCACATGTGATCAATCAGTACCGCAATGGGTTCTCTCACTGTTCGGGGGAAGCGCTACTTCTCATGTATACGAAATCTCATATGTTGATCCTGGCGCAAAGAAGGTCACTATGTGCTCAACGAATCTCACGTGGTCTAACGTCTTGAACGTGAGAGAAACTGTCATTTACCAGCCTTCGTCATCAAAACCAGAGTCGGTCACCGATTTCAGTCAAGAGGCCAAAATCACTGCCCTTTGCGGCGGCTGGCAGAAAATCAAGAATAAGGTAGAGGAGGCTAGCGTCGAGAGGTTCAGCCAAAATGCCAAGAGAGGCAGAGAGGGTTTCGAGACTGTTCTTGAAATGAGCCGAAGGGTTTTCGGTGAGCAACGTGAGTTCGAGAACAAGAAATTACAGTCCTGAGCTGCCCATTTCTTGTTGAACTCCTAACCATTATAGTCATTAAGCGGTTGCATTTACTGGCGTTTTCTTCAGTTTTTCTATCTTTGTTTTCGATGCATGCCATTTGAGCCGGCGTTCTCTTCAGTTCCATCTGCTTTTGTGGTCTCACTTTTGGCGCATGCATACTCCTTACACTGGACTTGATCATACTCGACGGCTCTGATGCCCCGATTCCTACGATGTTCATGGCTTTAAAAGTGATACCAACCCATGCTTGTTGATTTATCTCCTCTCGATATTATGCTAGTCTCTTACGTTTACTGGTTCTGCGTGTGCGAAGTGAAATATGTGAAGCAATTTATCGTGTCTCATTAACCTAGAATAGAATAGATCTTGTCCTTCCTTCGAAGGATCAATTCATAAATTCTACGTGGCACCAAATGTATTACCCACCTCAGGAGCATCCGCGCTCCTTGATCGAAAAGCCCATTTACAGCAAATGCCACGCACCAGTTCTGGGACTTCCGCAAGGCGACATTGCGATTTGAATCAGCCTAGAAGACCGCCCAAAACAACACGACTGACACCAGCTATTTCATTCTTTGCGCTGGCTCTACTTGCATCCTCGAACTCTCGAACGACGCCTGTGACCATTATCTTCCGAAGCTTTGCGTCTGCCTTTGAGAACATCTCTCCCAAAGCAACTGTGCAAACAGACGGAGTGGAGACCAAAGCGGTGAGCCTGGTATAGCAGTCAATCAATACGTCACAAAGAGTGGCGAAGGTTTCGAAATAATCAGGCTCAAATGGTAAAGACGGCGTCAATAGATAAGAATATTCCTCGCCGGGGAGAAGTTCGGAGGCTTCACTGGTGGGGAACGAAACAACAGCGGCAGCTGCTGTCGTAGACGAGGTGATGTTCCCCGTCATGGACTTCAAGTCAGATGGGTCGCTAGATTGCATGGGAAGACCAATCTCCGTCGCAGAGCTAGCCCTCCTGCCCTTGGTTCCAGCGTGTGCCGCTCTTTTGAACATTTGCGGAATGCGTGCTCTTGCCAGAGTTGATGATGAACTTCCATCCGGTGGGTGGACTTGCTGAAATGCCTCAAACTCAATCAAAAGCGCGTTTAAGGCGCGTAAGTACTCCGACGGTGATGAATTGACGTCCAAAATCGGCGGAAGTGATAATCCGAGAAGAAGATAATTAATGGCCCGACGGGATAGTTTGCGAGGATCAAAATAGGGGATTCGGCTGATGTCAGCTCGAGAGAAGTGTACTGTGTTGAACCAATAGATACGACCTTCATGGCTGTAGCTTTATCAGTGCTTGGATTAATGAAGAAGGACTGCTTTTTGCTTTGAACTCACGCTTTCCTAAGGTAATCCAGAGTGGATATCCTTTTGGTAGCCATGTCGTGAATATGTTGATAGATAGCTCCAGCGCTCTGAGGACCGAATGATCCTCCCCCGCCTGTCAAAGGAGGGGGCCCACCCCCTCCTACACCTTCATGTCCAACACTTGATTTGTTTGTGTCTCTGCGAGAAAGGCTGGGGGTAAATGTTGATGATATCATGCTTGAACTGGGCGCTGGACAAAGAGCAGCTCCAACAGTAAGTGAAGCAGGCTTCTGCCTGCTCTCATAGAGAGATAGCTGGTGAGGTCTCGTTTGTGCACAGCAGTCCAAAAAAAAGGTTGGTTTACGAGTCCCGGATATGCCTCGACCGATGTTGCTCGATAATTTGGAGATCTATGTACGGAGTACAGAGTGATTGAGTCCCCCTGCACGAACAATAATGCATGGGGCCGGCCCTTAGTTGATCCTGGGGGGTTCCGAGCCAGGAACGGGTTAGTTCGACCCACGGACCCCGGAGGGCGCGTCCACAATAACATTGATGGTATCCTTACCTAGGATAACCAATCTTCCTACCAAACGTGCATTCCAAGTCAAACTACTCTTGAACGTCCCAACGAACTGGACGTCATGGCGGGACACTGGCATGTTCATCAAGGTGCCAGGAGAACCATAGTTTATAGTTAGCCTTGACCAGGCAACTGTTTATCCGTCACTGGTTCCCAGTCTCCTTCTGCCTACCTAATAACAGTGCCGTCAATCTCTTAGCTCATGCATAGGTATAGTTGATATGCTCTGTAACAGCTACGACTACCGTACAATAGATAACACCCCACCCTACCCCACCTCCTTTTTGCTTCCGTAATTTCTGGCTTGATCAACCCGCCTTGTCGCATCAACCTTCGAGTTTCGCCGATTCTTGGTACCAGACCATTTCCGCACCAAAATCGACACACTCGTCTACATTACAACAAGGATCTAGTTGCTAATTGCCGAAAAGCGCCTCTCCAAACAATGAGTGTGTTGCCTGGAGAATTGGTCCCTGCGCCAGGACACTGGCCTGTGGATCCTCAGGATGATGTACCTATACGGGAAGATCGTATCTGGGTAGATGGGTGTTTTGACTTTAGCCATCATGGTGAGAACGCATTCTCCGCTGCTCTCAAGTCATAGGATTCCCTAATCAAAAGTGACTGGATTGATGTAGGACACGCCGGTGCTATGCTTCAAGCCCGTAGACTGGGTAATGAACTTTATGTTGGGGTACACTCGGACGAAGCAATTCTTGAGAACAAGGGCCCGACAGTAATGACGTTAGAGGAACGGTTAGTCTTTTTCTACAAAACTCGGCAGGTCAACTTAGATTGCTGATAACGGGTACCATGCTTTAGGGTAGCTGCCGTGGAAGCATGCCGCTGGGCCACTCGTTGTATTCCACGAGCACCTTACGTGACTTCCCTCTCATGGGTGTCACACTATGGGTGCAAGTATGTCGTTCATGGAGATGATATCACATCTGACAGCAACGGAGAAGATTGCTATCGATTTGTCAAGGCAGCTGGGCGCTTTCGGGTCGTGAAGAGAACCCCTGGCATTTCCACCACAGATCTTGTCGGCCGTATGCTCCTATGCACCAAAGGGCACTTTATAAAGAGCGTCAAAGACACCCTTGCGGGAGTAGAGGGATCCGACAATCAGGAAGAAAGGAAACAATTCGGTGTGGAGCTAATGCAAAGGATTCGGGACTATGCAACAGATGAGAGTGGTTTGCGCCCTGGTCCTCAGGTTTGGACTTGGACCGGTTCGAAGCCGGCGAAGGTTAGCGACACAGTTGAGGAAGCTGGTACATTCGAAACTCTGGTGAATGGCAAAGCAATCAAGCCAGGGCAGCGGGTAGTCTACGTGGATGGCGGCTTCGATTTGTTCTCCTCGGGCCACATCGAGTTTCTTCGACAGGTTCTAGAGCTTGAGGAGTTGGAAGGCCGCCAACGAGGATGGTATGACTCGGAACAAGTCGAGAAGAGACTTCACGACTTCGGTGAAGACTATCCCCCGGCTTATGTGGTTGCCGGCATTCATGATGATGATGTGATTAATCACTGGAAGGGATTCAACTACCCTATCATGAACATTTTTGAGCGGGGACTTTGTGTCCTTCAATGCCGAGTATGTCCCTTTCCCTCAATCGAAGGTTCGTACAACCTCTAATGATTTCTCCCAGTATATTCATGCTGTTATTTTCTCCGCGCCCTTCTCTCCTAGCCAGCCGTATTTGGAAGCCATGCCATTTGGTGTCCCGGATGTTGTTTATCATGGGCCAACAACCTTCATTCCGCTGACATACGATCCTTACACTGCTCCCAAAAGAATGGGCATATTTAGCCAGATAAGCGATCATGCTTTTCAGCACGTGAATGCTGGTGAGATTGTTGATAGGATACTCAGAAGCCGTGAGGCTTATGAAGAGCGACAACGCGCCAAGCTACAGAAGGGCATTATTGAAGAACTGGTCAGATCAGAAGAAAAGAGTCTGGCTGGGGAACGCGGTGCATAGTGACTTGATGATCTCATTGTAAAGTATCATGGACTAGTCCTTAAGGCTGTCGTCAATCAGACTCTAGTAGTAGGCTAATCATCTTGCAGGTGAAGTCCTGACTCTGTATTTGACTTTAATACCAGCTCAAACTAGAGATTACTATAGTACAGTAAATTTGACAGTGCCAATATAATGCCAACTAAGAGGTAGATGAGCACAATTTGTAGCCTTCGAGTTATTGAGTAGAACAAAGGTAAAAACCACGTCCTTGCCTTTTGAGAATATAGTACAGCACACCATGAAAATCATGAATAATTCTACAATGAAGATGAAATAGCAAATGAGTAAACAATCTGCTCTTTATTGAACCTCACGCATAAGTCAATCAGCTGCCACTAGGACCCCTTTCTCCTCAAGCAGCTTTGCGAGCTCTCCGTTCTGATGCATAGACATCAGAATATCGCAACCTCCAATAAACTCCTTGTCAAGGTATAATTGGGGTATTGTTGGCCAATCGGAGTATTCCTTTATACCTATGGAAGGCCGAGAGATTTAGCCAGACTGAGACTCACACGCAAATACAAACAACCTGCTGTTCCCGAAAAGGGCCACTATACGTACCCTGACGCAGCTCGGGATCCTCCAACACGTTGAACGCGACAAATTTCTTCGGGTCAACCCCCTGCAACCCCAGAATCTGTATGCTGGCTCGAGAAAATCCACATTGTGGTGTCTCCGGAGTACCCTTCATGAAGAGAACGACAGGTGCAGACGCAATGGCTTTGTCAATTGCCGACCTTGTTTGTTCCGAGAGAAACCGGGCATGGAGGGCATGCGGCAGTTGGAAAGCCGTGAATCGTGGAGTCAAGACAAGTGGCGACCGGGAAAAAGGTCGGAATGCCTGGATGGACACAAGTTGAGCTCATAATTGGCGAACAGATTGCGAGGGCAGGTAAAGTAGAGAGGTATGCTTGACTTACTGACGCGAAAGCTTGCCTTTGAAACATCATATCTTTGTCAAGACTGACCGGCTGAGCTCTGGAGAGTTTCTGATACAGATAAAATGCTTGTAATATTCTATAGATGTACATGTAAATGGCGAACCTTATCATGTGACGTTAGTCACCGTGGCTCCCGGTCCCACCATGAAAAACAGGTACCCCACAGGATCGATACGTGGGATTGCGGATGAAAAAGCATTGTCCGAATCGCATCGCCGTCAGCCTTGAATCGTCACCGATCTATCTAAATAAAGGGCGGTGCGTGAGTCTATCAGTTAGATGCTTGGATGGCCCTTGGCAGTCCTGCTCGATCACTCGTATCGACGACAGCTGACATCATCGCATATGATAACGGTTCCTGTCCGAGTGTAGTCATTTTGTGAAACGTCGAAGTTCGATGGAAGGCACTGGGACTTTCTCAGCTGAAGAGCAATCCAAAGATAAGAAAATACACATTCTTTTAGCAGCAAGCGGGAGCGTGGCAGCGATAAAATTGCCAAATATCGCGGAAGCTCTTGGCCGGCACAAAAGTGTCTGTATTCGCATTATTGTGACCAAGTCTGCGGAGAAATTTCTTGCGGGTCAAAGCTCAGAGCAACCTCTACTCGATGCGCTAAAGCAGATACCTGGGGTTGATGCTATTTACCGAGACGAAGACGAGTGGAAAGACCCCTGGATTCGTGGCGAGCCCATTTTGCATATTGAGCTTCGAAAATGGGCCCATGTCCTGCTTGTCGCCCCTTTATCGGCGAACACGCTGGCGAAGATGACAATGGGGATTGCGGATAATCTGCTTCTCTCCGTCATTAGAGCATGGGATACCACTGGGAAAGTAGACTTTGGTCCCAAAGACAAAAAGCCTGTGGTGTTCGTTGCTCCAGGTGAGATGCGCTAATATGTACTTGTTCACTGTCAAATTTTGTTCTAACTATCAATAGCTATGAACACCGCGATGTGGAATCACCCAGTCACTAAAAGGCAACTCAAGATCTTAACAGACGAGTGGGGGGTGAGTGGGACAAATGAAGAAGGTTGGGTCACTGTACTTCACCCAATCGAAAAATCTCTTGCTTGTGGTGATACTGGTAATGGTGCCATGATGGATTGGAAAGATATAGTCAACGTAGTAGAGCATCATCTTGGTATCAGTAGTGTTAAGATAAAAGATATTCGCTGCGGAAGTTGAAAGTAACCTTTATCCTGTCCTATGTTCGTGAGTGCTATCCTCTTAATGTAAGTTATTATCGCTTTTATACAGGCCAGTGGTTTGAGCTATATACTCAAAGAACATCCCCAAAGTGATGCCGCCCCCAGTCAGCAAACATCCGTTCTTGAACCACCACCAGCAGTTCTTGACATTCTTCAGTTGGACCTTCCAAATCATGATACCGAGGGAAACGGCTGCGCTGCCGCAGGTGCCGACGAAAAAGATGGGTCCAGCACCTGCTGCTACTCCTGCAGTAGCGAGCAGCGCTACTTGAACTGCTGCCAGACCAGAAAGAACTGTCTTAGTGTTATGCTCATGCCGAAGGGCAATTGACTTGATCCCCGCCGCGACATCGTCTTCGATGTCCATATGTGCGTAGATCATATCGTACAGCACTGTCCAAGCAACACAGCTAGAATACAAGGCTGCTGCGGCTTCCAAAGCAGCATGGTTGCTAAGAAGATCGACGCCCAGCGCT